CTTGGTGAAGACCCATTGTAACTGTAAAAGTGGATGTCTCTCCCACAGGTGTTCTAACATTTTGCACTCTCATATATAACCTTAATTAGGTCTTATACAGTTATACCTATTCGAATGCCCTTTCTCCTACACTATGAATATGGGAATGAGGTTAGGTTCACCTACACCACCAATTATAGGTAATATCACCAATAACCATCAACCCTCCCTTACACCAAAGGTGAAAAGCCTTTGAGTGGACTCTCTTGCAAAAGCCAATTGTTCTAAAAAGTGTCTTATTTTCATTAAACAGACATTATTCCTTAATTTTATCTTAATTTTATTTTTCGTTTTTTCCCCTTCATTTCATCCCCTTTATCCTTTTCTAGTTCTGAAATAAAATTTTCCCATTGATGATTAAAAATCAATCATTTATCGTATTTCTCTTTCTGTTGCTTTTCATCGCTAGAATTCTCGTCCGTTCACACTCTATGTCAATTTACCCTTATTTATCATCTTTCCCTTCTATGCTCCACTTCCGGCCCTTAATATGCTATTCCTGCTCTATCAAACTCAAATTTGATTATCCTTCCAAGTCCATATTCTAACTGTTTGACCCCCTTTCAAGTTTACTGCAGTGTGCTTGCTCCCCTTAATATGCAACATAAACCGAAAGAATATTGTTGGACTATTTACGACGTAATTTTATGAGTACTTAGAGCATAAATTAAGCTCAGTGTAATGGAAACGAAGTATAAGAAAGAAAAAAATGGATTGCAATACTCACAAAATTTCTGAAAATAATGAACTAAGCCCTCTCGTCAAACAACTGGCTCAGGATCTATTAACAAATTTCTCTTTCGCATTTAAGAATGTCAACCTCTAGAGCTAGGGTTTTTCACATACACAATGTCTTACACATTGAATATACTCGGAAAAACAAAAATTCTGAAATAGAGAAGTTTATAAAACGTTCAAAACGCGCAAAGAACAGAACAAAAATCAACGATCCTGTGACACATAAAAATATATAGATTGATACTCAAAAATGAAATATAGCTTACAGAGGTTTCAGGTTCTTCACAAGGTATCCAGTTAACGAGAACTCCTCAAATTTCGTATCTCCAATCATCACTCTTCATCGTCTGTAAACAAGCACGAGGGAAAAGGAGCCCTAAAACGCCATTAATAGAACCCAGAATTTTACAGTGAAAACAGCAGGAATATGTCATGGAACGACCGAAAGAAGTTTTCTATAGAGATTCGCTGTCAGCCCTGATAGTGGTAGGGTTTTCTTGTGTTATTTCTTCTCTCCCGAGAAGACGCTGAGAAGAAAAAAAATTACTTTTATTTTATTTTCCTTTTTGTTCCTCCTAACCGAAACAAGGAGAAGGAAGAACGGAGGAATAAAAAATATTAAAAAATAAAATAAAAGGGTAAACCTCCCTTCAAATTTCTCCTAAATACTAAAGCCTCCACTATGTTAATTATTTCCAACGGAATGATTAAAAAGTCTCTTTTATCCTTGTTAAATCATTAAATTTTCAAAACAATGGAATTGTTACAGAAAACAAAAAGTGTCCCTTTTTCAAATTTCCGTATCATTTCAAGCAACAATAATTAAAACAAGGCAATTCTATAGTCTATCCACCCTTAAAAATTTGGATGAAATCTTTGAATTTTGAAATAATGAATGATCTTTCTGAAACTTAATTATCCGATGAGGGGACACAGGGAGCGGAGGCCCTAATCGTCTCTTTGGGTGTATCCTAACCTCCTAGCTTTCGTTCATCAATCCTTCTTGTTCAAGGAAAAAAGAGCTTTGGAGATGGATCAACCGAAAGGATTGAAGAGATCATTTTCTAGTTCTGAACGAGGATCCGTAGCTTGTGATTCTTTGTTGTTCCATTTGCAGCTTTTGGTTCTTTATAGGGATTTAGGGATTTCATATAATAAGCTGGTTTTGTTTCCAGGTGCCAACTGCCAAGCAACCTTGCTGGGTACAGTTGAAAGAACTGATGAAACCCTCCTTCATCTGGAAAAAATTAAAAGCCAGAAATAAAACATAAGAAGAGGGGTCTCCACTCCCTCACCCCTCCCCAGGCCCTAGGTCCCCGTCCCCCATTCCTCCCGAGTCCTGACATAAATGGGGCATTTGTCCATGGGAATATATCTTTTTGTTAATAAAAGAAGAATGCGTGTACTGAGGCTTGAAATTTTCGGGCGTATGCACCTGATGAGATCGCCTGCAACCTGAGATAAAAAAAGCATCCACCATAAGTTAAGTTTAGTTATACTCCACTAAAATCAATAAACAGTGCCTACTGACATGAGGTTCTTCTTCAAAGACGCAGATGCTACTCATCTATCATAAATGTTAGAAAATAAAGACATCAAATTTGATTTTGTATATATTTTTCTTGTTTCACCAATAATAAGGACAAAATCGGTTTTTGAAAAAATTTAACGTCACATGTGAGTAAATCTTAAGATTACTAACCTAGAGAGTTCTTTGTCCAATGACATTTAATGGAGGTACGCTTCCAACAAGCATAAAATGGATTTGATGTCCAATGCATAAAATTTGAGTGGATATATGCCTACAATAAGTCATTGCCGGCCACACTGAACCAATACTACAATGGATAAATAATGATGGGCAAATGTGATTCAGAATTTCAACATGATAACGGAGAAAAACTACAGCCATAAACAAATGAAGAATCACTGGGATGCAGTAAAGAATGAGTGAGAGATATTCTATAAATTGTCAACTTATACCGAATCGGGTTGAAATCTACTGAATGAAATATTCGCTACTGGGGATCACTTTTGGAATGACTATCTGAAAGTATGGTGTAATTTAGCATTTTAATACAATAAACATGTAGGTTAATCATCTTATTAGGCAGAACCTTACATAGTTATATACTTATGTGATAGTCATACCCTGATGTGGCTCAATTTAGATACAAGGGTCTTCCCCATTTGGCAGATTTGGACATCATATTTGGTGGCACAGTTGCCCACAGTTACGATAGTTGGGCACCGAATGAGGGTACACTACCGGAGGTGGTGCCGTTAACCCAACCGACTCTAGATGATGACCGGATGGATGAGCAATTACAACATGAACCAGAGACACCCATGTCTGCATCTAAAACAATGCATGATATTGGAAAGGTCCCAACAAGCACTCACTTAAATAGAATTGTCAACAAAGACATAGGAGAGAGTAGCAACTCTACCAGGAAAAAGAAGATGTCGGGTGCTATGCAGATTGGAAAGAATTTGGACAAACTTGCCTTTGCATTTGAGCTATCAACTACCCATAAAATTGGCAAAGACATGAGGCTAAGTTCTATGGAACGTTGCTTTAACCTCCTAAAAGAGATCCCTGAGATTGAGGGGAGTCATTTATTCATGTTTGCTAGTCTCTAGTTCATGAAGGGTGATTTCCGTGACTGGTTTATTGCGATCGAATCTCCTGCCTTTGTGATTGAAGATGATTAAAGAGTTGTATGAGCATTTCGATAGTGTGTGAAACTTGTTGGCATCAGTTTGTGTTTTACTTTTTGTTTGTCACATATAATTGAGAATTTGAGTCATCTTCGTTTTGACAAGTATTTCATATGATTATTATCGTTGGACTTGATTTATATTTTTAATGTTAATTAAATGTGTGTTTTTTTATATTTTTTGCATTCATGTCTTCATTATATGATTATTAATTTTGTTTGTCTTTACTAAATTGCATGATAGTACTTATGAAAGCTACACCTAGAAAGTGCTCTCTATAAGTATTTTGTGAAAACTACGTCTAAAAAGAACTTTATAGATGTATTTTGTGAAAAATGCGTCTTAAAAGTATTTCCTATAATTATTTTGTGAAAACGGCGCCTTAAAAGTACTTTCTAAAATTATTTTATGAAAATTGTGCCTTAAAAGTACTTTATGGAAGTATTTTGTGAAAACGATACATTAAAAGTACTTTCTATAAGTATTTTGTGAAAACTGCGCCTTGAAAGTACTTTTTGGAAGTATTTTGTGAAAGTTGTGCCTTAAAAGCACTTTCTATAAGTATTTTATGAAAATTGCACCCTATAAGTACTTTCTGGGAGTATTTTGTGAAAACTACGCTTTAAAAGTGCTTTCTGGAAGTAATTTGTGAAAATTGCGCATTAAAAGCACTTTCTAACAGTAATTTGTTATTTATCAATAGCATTCATTATTTGTTAATATTAGTTACTATTGTTACTATTTATTATTTATTATTTTTTATTATTATAATGATTATTATTATTATTATTATTAATTGAGTCCACATGGCGATTCACGTGTGGGTCCATGTGGGCTCTCAGTTGAAATGTATAGTATAACATGTGAAAAAGCATTGTATATATATGAGTGAAAGTGAGGGCTAAAATTGTCATTTGTGTCAATATAAGCACTTATGGGGAAAGTAACTTACCAAACATCCCCACCCCAATAAGTGCTTAAAAACATAATAAGGGATTCGAAAAATGGGTTATAAGCAATCTTAAGTGATTGTTAAAATAATAACTTCTTTTAACAAGTATTTAATCATCAAACAGGGCCTAAGTCTTTTATCCAAAATAAAAAAAAAGAAACATAAATGAAAAAATTAATAGAATTTTTTTTAATAGCAGCACAGAAATTGTAGTAAACTAGTAATATAATTTCATCACATGGGAGGGAGAACACAAGAAAATGAAGATTGTGAGTTGGGATCTCCTACCCACCCTTACTACAGCCGCAACTGTACACTAAGAACATCTCTAGTATTTACATGTTATCATTCATGGGAAATGTTCTTGTAGTGTCAAGTGGGTAGTGTGTGCCTGAGCTCTAAATGGATGGATATTGTCCATCTAAAGTAAAGATAAAACGTAGGATTACAACTTATCATCTCGGAGATAGACATAATACAACAAAAGGCTTACAAGTTACAACTCTATAAGACTATAATACTTTACAAAAAAAACTCTATAATACCAGATCGTGTAATATCCATACTTTTGGAATATTTGGTCTTCTTCACATGATTAGAAATACAACTTCACATTGGACTTTGGAATATATCAACCATCTTATTGATTCAAATTAGTTTTAACTGTGATATAACAAGAATTATAAGAAATTGATGTCTTTCTATTGAGAAAGTAGTACATATATATACAACCTTGTAGATACTAAAAATGAAGAAAATCCTACAGCCTTGCAGATACAAAAAAGGAAGAAAATCATACAGCCTTGCAAATACAAAAAATGAAGAAAATCATACAGCCTTGTAGATACTAAAATAGGAAGAAAATCAAAGAAAAAATAATTCCTATAATCAAGCTATTCCTAATTGGGCTAATACTACATATTTACAGCATATAATTTCGTAACACTCCCCCTCAAGATGGAGCATAGATGTCAATCATGCCCATCTTGTTACAAATATAAGAAATAGGAGCTTTATTAAGAACTTTTGTAAAGATATCTCCTAACTGCTCTCCAGTCTTCACATATGCTGTAGAGATCAAGTTTTGTTTAATTTTCTCACGAACGAAATGGCAGTCTATCTCGATATGTTTAGTTCGTTCATGAAAAACTGGATTCGAAGCAATATGAATCGCAGCTTGATTATCGCATCATAGCTTCGCTGGAAC